GATTGATAAAGCTCTCCATATACTTCAAACTAAATCATTGTATTACTTAAAGGTTTTCCCTTACTATCCAGGATTGTTAGAAATAAGTGTTGTGATTTGAAGAGGATTGTTCTTCATTCACATTAGTGTGTGTTTGGTCTTAAAGGTGTTAAGAACCTTTGATCACCCTATAGGTTAGATAGTAAGCATAGGCTGTACAATCATTCTAACTATAGTGAAATCTCTTTCGTGTTGGAAAGGGGACTGGAGTACTCTCGGATTGTGAGGGGAACCAGGATATATCACTGTGTTCTTTACTTTTCCGCATTTATCGCTTTCATCACCATAATCAGGAAAATATAAAGATTTAAACAAAACCTTCAAACACTTAACCAAAAATTACTACCAAGCATTCTCATAAAAAACGAATAAAATTTTATAAGACCTAATTCACCCCCCCCCCCCCCCCCCCCCCCCCCTCTTAGGCACTCTGAGACTTACAGAACTTTGCTTGATATGACCAGAAGTATGCTGAAAGAGAAGAAGTTACCTCACATGTTATGGGGAGAAGCTGTTGGCACATCAGCATATGTTCTAAATAGGTGTCCAACAAAGAAGCTGAAGGAAATTGTTCCTTTAGAAAAATGGACTGGAGACAAGCAAAGTATTAGCCATCTGAAGGTGTTTGGTTCTGTATGCTACAAACACGTTCCAGAGGCTAGAAGATTAAAACTGGATGATAGAAGCAAAACAATGTTACTGGTGGGGTACCACAGTACAGGTGCCTATAAGCTTTATTGTCCATAAACCAACAAAGTTGAAATCAGCAGAGACGTCATTGTGAAAGAGTCAGAAACATGGGATTGGAACAAGCTTCAATCAGATTCTGGTGTAGCGCCAACACCAGGGTTAGTTTCTGAAGATCCTTCATAAAGTTCTGAAGATGAGTCAGAGTCAGAAGATGAAGACTCTGAAGATGAGTCAGAATCTTAGGGAGATTCTGATAATGGATCTGATTCTGATCCAGATTCTGATGATGATCCAGAATCTGGTGGTGATTATACTTCTGGAAGGGAAAACTCTGAAGACATGGGGTCTGGAGAACAAGTTTCCAGAAGTAACTCTGAAGGTGGTAATTCTGAAGGAAATAATTCTGGACAAAGTCCAGAAGCTAGCACAGTTCCGAGTTCTGGAGAAGCTTCAGAACAAGATCAGAGGCCACGGAGAATCAGACGAATACCAAGTAGGTTTGCAGATTTTAGCATGTTGCATGATACTGAAGTAGATTCTGAAGGAGAAATCGTTCAGTGTGCCATGCTAGTAGATTCTGAACCAGTGGTTATTGAAGAAGCGCTCAAGAAGAAAGTATGGTTGAATGCCATGAAAGAAGAACTTGAGGCTATTGAAAGAAACAAGACTTGGAAGCTGACAGAACTTCCAAAAAGCAAGAAAGCCATCAGCGTCAGATGGGTTTTCAAGCAGAAGCTAAAGCCATATGGATCAATTGGCAAACACAAAGCAAGACTAGTGGCCAGAGGTTTTCTTCAGAAACCTGGACTAGATTACTTTGAGGTGTTTGCGCCTGTAGCTAGACACGAAACAATCAGACTGGTGATTGCTTTAGCTGCAAACAGAAATTGGCCTTTGATACATCTGGATGTGAAGTCTGCATTTCTGAACGGTCCATTACAGGAAGAAGTTTATGTGTCACAACCTCCTGGATTTGTGAAAAAGAATCAGGAAGGGATGGTATACAGGTTAAATAAAGCTCTGTATGGACTGAAGCAAGCGCCCAGAGCTTGGAATTTGAAGATTGATTCGTTTTTCAAGGAACAAGGGTTTCAGAAGTGTGAGATGGAGTATGGTGTTTATGTTCAGCACACTTCAGAAGGTAATATGATTCTGGTCTGTTTGTATGTTGATGACATATTACTCACAGGAAGTTCTGAACAAGAAACAGTTGAGTTCAAGAAAGTTCTGATGAATGCGTTTGAGATGACAGATCTTGGAAAAATGAGTTTCTTTCTAGGGATGGAATTTATATACTCTGAGAAAGGAATCATCTTACATCAGAAGAAGTATGAACTGGAGCTTCTGAAGAGATTTGAGCTAGCAAATTGCAAGGTTGCTATCACACCTGCTGATACGAATCAGAAGTTGGATTCTGATTCTGATGGAGAAGATGTGGATGCTACAACCTTCAAACAGATGGTTGGTTCTCTGAGGTATTTGTGTAATACCAGACCTGATATTTGCTATGCAGTTGGAATTGTCAGAAGATACATGAGCAAACCAAAGTGGTCTCATTACCGAGCTGCTGTCAGGATTCTGAGGTATGTAAAAGGAACTCTGAAATATGGAGTGTTATTTCCTTCTGGAGGAAAGATCAAATCAGAACTTCTGAGTTATTCTGATTCTGATTGGTGTGGAGATAGAGTTGACAGAAGAAGTACTTCTGGGTACTTGTTCAAGTTTCTGGGAGGTCCAATTTCTTGGAGTTTCAAGAAACAGCCTGTCGTGGCTTTGTCAACATGTGAAGCTGAATACATTGCAGGTGCTGTAGCTGCGTGTCAAGCAGTTTGGCTTCTAAATCTGCTGCATGATCTGAAGGTTGAAGTTGAGGAACCTCTGAAGCTGATGATTGATAATAAGTCTGCAATTAATCTTGCAAAGAATCGAGTGCTACATGGAAGAAGCAAGCACATTGAGACGAAGTATCACTTTCTCAGAAGTCAAGTGCAGAAAGAAGTATTAGAAGTTCTGCACTGTAGCACTCAGAAGCAGCTAGCAGATGTTCTGACAAAGACGATAAAAACAGACCAATTTCTTCGCTTGAGAGATGAAATTGGTGTTGTTAACTTCTGATAAGTTACTAAATTACGGGATGGTATTAGAGGGTAATTTAGTATTTGCCATATGTAGGATATTCCCTTTAGGCCTTATGTGGCATTCTTATCTTTACTATTTTGTGTATAAATATGTGTACTAGGTTTACATTTATAATACAATCAATCCCTTCAATCATTAGTGGCAGCTTTTAACATTTATTCCTTTTCTCTCTTCTTCCTCAATTTCATCACCTTGCACTAACAATTCTTACTAGTTTACACCTAAAAATAAATTATATAACAACTGAAATAAAAATAATAATAAATACGTGAACTTTGCTAAGCTATAAGTCAAAAGATTACGAAGATAATCAAACTTTGGCTAGTTGAATATTTCTCAAATAGTGAAATTTATTATAGTCGTCAAGACTTCATAATCAATTAAAACACATTAAAACTAATAAATTGAACATTAGAGTCATATTTTCTATTAATAATGTCAATAGCCAAATAGGTTGGAGATTGCAAAAGTAACCTAGAGTCAACTAAACATGTCTCAAAATAAAAGTTGTTGAGCTGAAAGTTGAGCGCCACAACACCCAAAATAATATGGTCGATCTAAACATTGTTTGCTTATAAAAGTTGGACTATACAATCATTTTAAAATCATAATCGATATAAATTAAACTATTTTACCCATTTTATCTCTTTTACTTTTATTTTATTTCGATAAATTTTGTTGCTTGATAGTTCAACTCTCGCACACCATATATAACCTTTACTTTAATTTATAATTTGAACCAATATAAGTTTAAATACACAAAATTCTGATCATCACAAAATAAATTAACACAAACAATTCTATGATTCATCTTAATTTTAGAGGTCTTTGTCTTAAGCATTATATTATGAACTTTAAAAATAGAAAGTACAATCACATGTATCGTGGTGGTGGTTGTTAAGGGGACCCTGTACAGCACATTGCTTGCTTAAAGACGTGAATCTTATCCCATCCTTTACGGCATTATGATTACCATCCGGTGCATTCTTTATTCTTTAGAATGGATAAACTCCCTTTAATATTAAGTAAACAAATTGTTTTTCAATTAACCAAAGACTTGAGCTTGAGCTGTAGACGACTTTCTGTTAACAAACTAAGGTTTACAAAATACCTTAATTATTTGAATTATTCATATTCTAAATATATTATGAATATGGTTTTAACTATATTTATATTTTAGACATTCATATCTAAAATAAAATTATTTTTAATCATACATTGTTGCTTTTAATCATTCATACTATATAATGATCACTTTGCGTCATTTCATATATTCAATTCATTCTCACTCTCATATTATTTTCACTCGATAACTGACTTGAATATTAAAGTGTTAATTCTGTTGGTCTACTCCGTCTCTGTGGTACCAAAAGCTTATTTCATTGTAGCAAGACTTCATTTCACCACTTTACTACACATTTCTAGTTATTTAACGGAACATTGACACCACTTGTGGTAAACGACTACTTATTCCTACCACTTTTCTATGAAGACAATTGTCTATTCACCGATGAGAAATCATTAATCTTCTTCTCGCGAAACACCAATTTCTCTCTCAAAAAAATCTGATAACAAACTCTTGAAGTCACGGGGACATCGAAGATTACCTAATATGCCACTAAACATCATGCTCTTGTTGCGGCCGCTAAAGCTAACAAAGCTCCACTTTGGTTGAGAACGATCCAGTTATGGTGACTTCTTTGTCCGCTCTTGTGTAACAAGAGAAATTCACTCTTCGCACGACAACAAGATCTCAATTCATTGAGAAGCTCCCAAAGCTAAAATGTTATGACGGTTCTAATTCCAAAAGAGCATGGCGAACGTCGAACATGTGGACAATAGGCTAGACTATTGCGGCATTATGATTCCATTGGGTGTATTGTTTAATCCTTAGATTGGATAAACCCATTATAGTAATAATAATAATGCCAATATCTCATGAAATCAAACTCATAAGTTAACAAATTGTTTTGAACTACAATACATCCAGCACAAATATTGTATACTAATAATAACAAAGTGCCTAAAGAGCACAAGTTGTTTAGCCTAATAATAACATACTTGATACAAAAATCCAATCAGTCCCATTCTTATGCTTACACCTCTGCAGTGCTTCTTTACAATTTGCTAGTTCAGAAGAAGATCAAACACAGGACAAAGCATAAAAAGAGAAAAAATGATATTCTATTCAATGATTTGTTTGCTAGCATCTCTTGCCTTCTCCACCTAGAGCTACCACTTCCATTGACATGATCAGAACTTGGCGAGTCACCAAAGATAAAGTGGGGAAAAACTGGTGTCATAAGATTCAGCATCTGAGTTGCATCATTCTCTTGGTTAATATTTTGAGTCTGATACGGATTACGATATGCAAGCTCCTGCTGACCCCTTTGAGGCAATGTTGCCATTGCAAACAGAGATTGAATTCCTGAAGCAGGTGGTCTTGGTGGTATAGAAACATCTTGAACCGTAGTTTTTATTCCGTCGTCGCGATGAATTGCGGTCTGGCCTCTGCCGTAGAGAGGGACCATTTTGGTGTGAGATATTTCATGTTTGCAAACTGGACACTGTGGTGGCTCATCAGGTGCAAGAGAAGCACTTTGCACATAGAGCCATTTGTAGATGCAGGACCAACAGAATAGGTGACCACAGAGTGTGACTACTGGTTCATGTGCAAAATCTAAACATATGTTGCAATCAAAACAACTGTCACAGTTCTTCTTCTCTGTCTCAGTCATAGAACTTCCAATGGAATTCCATTCTCTGGAAAAGTAATCTTCTTGCTCAAACGCCATTAATTAATTAACCTTTCTTGCAACTTTGGTTATTAGTGTTTCTATTAGTCCTGAATATACAAGAGATTAATTACAAAACCAGTTTAACACACTAAATCAAAGAAAGCTTAGGGGCATTAAGCTCATAGGCGCAAATAAACAAGAAAAGAATAACTAGCTTACATGTATTAACTAAGAGTGATAAACAACGTCAAAAATACAAAAATAGAAATCAGATCTAACTAATTACTGCGCACAGAACATATTCACATAAAAAAAAAAAAAAAGTCATCAGGTTTGAATCTGAGAGACATACCAGAGAGAGAGAAAGAGAGAGAGAGGAAGAAGGTTCGTTGGTGAGACAACAGTGGAGCATGCTTTAGTTATAGACTTGTATTATATTTATAGAAAAGTGTTATAAATAATCACTTTAGGATACTTATTTTTTGCACTCTTGTTTATATAACATAGAAGCACTTTCCTTTTGTCAATTCAGATATCACTCTCGTAGCAGAGGAATGATCCATTTCGGATGGGTTAGGATTGACTGTGAGCAAAATCTGCATAATTGAATTTAGTAGAATTAATTATAACAGAATTGAGTTTAACTAAATTAATTATATTTAGATATATTTATGTAAAAATAAATTTAATAATAAATTTCAGTGTAAAAATAATCCAGAATCAATTCTGACAACAAAAGCTATAAATTCTAACTTCAACTAAAATCAATTATAAAGATAAAATCAATTTTATTTTTGAAAAAATAAACATCTCAATGTCACCGGAATTAATTTTACATCTCTAAAATTGACGGAGTCTTCTAGAAATGAAACCAAACATATACTTTATGTTTAAGTTTATTTAATAATTACTTTTTATTATTAATAGTTATATTTTGATATTTTTAAACTCTAAAATATCATTTAGCATTTTATTTTCTCTTCCTTCACATGAAATCTTCAATATATACCGCAACAATGTATTATTCTCTATTTATTTCTTTTTCAAGGCAGTCTTTGAGTATAGGGTGTCTTCTTGTTAATGACAAATTAATATGTGTGTAAGCAGATCAGAAAATTTTAATTAAATCGATAATTTAAATTAAATCAAATCAAAATCAAATTGTCTATTTTTGGTTCGATTCTAAAGTCGAACCAAACCAATAAAAAGTAATGTAGTTTGGTTTGGTTATTGATTTTAGTTTTTAAGAACTGTCAAATCGATGAACCAAATCAATGAAAATAATTACACTATAAATCTTTTATTACATTCATCATTAAGTCCAATTTTTTTATGGGTCCAACCATTCTCCATCTTTGTTTACACTTCCTTCATTTTAGCAAAACACACATCTAGAATCAAACTCCAGAACATAGAAAGTAGAAACCATAAGTTGTTAGACGATAGGACGTAAAATCAGATGAACAAATATCGTACAAGTCATTCCAAAAAAGAAATAAAAAATCAAAGAATAAAGCTCACTAAATCGAAAACTTGAAAAAGCAACTTAGGCAAAAATCAGGACATCCCGTTGGACTGCAAACTAATAAGCATCAATTTAGGCAAAAATTAGAGATAAAAAAAAGCAAAAAAAGAGAAGAAGAAAAATAAGAAAAAAGGATCACCAAATGTCCTTAAAAAAGAAAAACCAAGAACAAACTTGTATGACTATTAAACAAAAGTGGGTGACTACCACCTGGAACAAAAACCTCATTAGTTCTTGAACCGTTACACCTTCACCCGCAAAATCCTCTTGGAAGTTGAATGTGTGTGTTGAATTAATTAAACATAGGACTAGAGATCATGATGGAGAATGGAGTGAGTTAAAATGAAATTTTTAAGCCTTATATCCTTTGTTTTCAAAAAACCATGAACCAAGCCAAGTTACAACCCTCAAAAGACCTAATTGAAGTAGGGTTTATTTTGAAAGCATGCTACATCAAGGTTGTGTTAATGTGACTCCTTGAGACTTGTTAATCATTTGTATTATTATCAAATTCCCGCATCATCTTTCACACTTTGAATAAACATGTGATTTGTTCATCACAACATAATTTCAATAACGAATTTTTCAAAACATGCATGAGCATCGCATTAAGATTACCATTTTTTGAATGAAAATCTTATTTGTAAGCCAACATTTAGCATCAAAGAAGTTCCAATAATTAAAAATCAACAAGGAATTAGATCATTCGTAGAGGATCCAATCTGGGGAAAGCCATATAAGGACCTTGTTGACCAAGGACAAAGTATAAACTGAGGTTAGGGGAAAATCCATCCAAAGATCAGTCAGGCTAGGGAAAATCGTCCAAAGATCCATTCAATATGGGGAAATCACTTCAAATAATTGGTATATCCTCTCAGGAGTCAATTAATCAGGGGCATCCTATTTCTAGGTCCAAAATAATGGGGCAAGCCATCTCAATTCATATCTTGATAAGCTTCTTCTGAACTTCTTGAGACAATTTCCTTCAAATACCCTACAAACTAGGGAAATTCAGGTTACATAAGGGCAAGCCCTCTCCTTACTTTCAAGTTTCTCAAACAGACCCTGCTAGGCACCAACATCCGTTGAGTTCGAAATGAGTATGGGAAACCATAACATCCTATCACCTTACGAATAAAACACCCCTCTCAGTTTTAACCTTGCATAACCTACCATAGTTACACTTATAGAAACATTTAAATCATCGCATAAATCATCATCATACATTGATCAAGTTGCTTCGCTTTATCATATCCTCACATGAGTCTGGTATATTCTCAGAGCATGAAGCCTTGTGATAAATACCAAATTATAGTAAATTTGTGTATAGTTTTGTGGCACTTATTGACTTATTTCGTTGAAATATCATAAATAAACCTCAACTTGAATATAATTAATAGCATTATAGTTTTCTAATGTAAATATTGTATAAATTAATCATTTTTATCTTATTTTGTATGTTTCCTTGCATTGGTGAAGTATTGGGAATTAAAAGGAAAAAGATAAGCTTCAAGATGCATTTTTGGATGGAAATCAAGACTATAGGTCGGGCTAAGCACGCTCAAAGCACGTTTGGACTTTTCTGGATAAGAGGTATCACGCTTAGCGCGCTATTTGAGGCTAAGCATGCTCTGAAGCATAAGGTGGTTTGGTGTGTGATATAGTGACAGAACCGACTGTTAATACTGGTTTTGCGTTTGTATTTGCAAATGTTCCGGTAAGCAAGAGTCGCCATCGACTTTTCTTTTATCCAAATTAAGGAAAGGGTGAAAAGAACAAAAAAAGACCTTTTCGATATTTTCTGAGTAAGAGGGGTAGATTATAGAAAGGGAAGGTGTTAGCACCTTTTCCATCTGTAGTTTTCTACGGGCTCTTAGTGGTTTGCTCATTTTGAAATACCTTTGTGATTTGTGTGTTTTGAAAATGTTTGGAAAATGCCTTAGTGCAGAGATTTGCTTTACGTTTAACTCTTGTATCAGTCCTCAAGAGTGTTAACAAAGCAAATGTTTTGAAAATTGCTTTTGAAAAGTAGTATTTGTGTAAGTGCAAAATATTTTGAGCAAACTTCTAATAGTTATCTACTTTTATACTCGAAAAGGTGGTTATTTTCCTCCTATCCTTTAGACAATGCTATCCTACTATTAGTGAGTAGGTAGCCTTGTCGTTGGATCTATTAGGGACATTCGAAAGGGATGTTACAGTCACGATGGCAACTTGTGGAGACGCTTTAGCAATTTTGTTTAGGGACTAGATCATTTACCGAGAAGGCAACTGTAGGGTCATCGAGGGACTATGATCTCTTAATTTATGGGTCTTTGCTAAAGCATTCTTGCCTTATGACTGTTTTTTATTTCTAAAGGCAACCAAAGTGAGGTACCCTAGAGTTGTATATGTGCAAGTGTGTTATGTTCAATTATTTTTTGTATTTTTGTTAAGTTTGCTAACGTTTGATTTTGATCTTTTCATACACGCCTAGTTACTAGCAGTTAATATATATTGTAGAATATTAAAGTGCAGGAATTTAGATCTACGCTATTACAATAATTTGGGGGAGGGAATTTACATTATACAAGAATGAGGGGGATAAAGCAGTCAATGTCCTAATTTTAATCTATTACATCCAGTGAGCAGGTACATTAATAATAAAAATGCGAAATTAAATAAACGCGCGTGAAATTGAAAATAGCGTCTAAAAATATCCTAAGAAATAAAAATCTTTTTATTTTGTTTTTTATGTAAAGAAAACAAAGCCTAAATCTTTTTAATTTTAATTTTAAGAAAGATGTTAAAATAATTTATTTATTTATTTATAAAATTAATTTAATTAGAAAAGACAACAGCCTAATGTTTTTTTTTTGTGATTTTGATTTAAGATTAATTTAAATAAAAAGGATCAATAAAGAAATAACAAAAAGAACAAAAATAAAATGTGAAGGAATGAGGGGATCCTTCGATCCAGAGGAAGGTGGCTTTCGATCCAGAGGAAAAAGGGTTGCTTTCAATCCAAGGAAGGATGTTTGTCCTTCGATCCAGGGGGAGATAATTGTCTTTCGATCTAGGGATGGATGTTGTGAGGGCACTGAATCTGCAAAGGTATGTTAGCCAAAATGAAAAGCATGACCTGGGTGCCAAGCCCAGGTCCTTCGATTATGTACGCACTGGCCTTATTTATGTTGGATCTGCAACAAGCATTAGAAGCAAAACAAAGGCAGACTTGGGGTCGAACCCAGGTCTTTAGTCTTGAACAACAAATCAAATGAAACTACAAATGTTGATATGTCATGCAAATGTAGAGATTGATCTTTTTACCAATTCTTACCAATGGTTGATAGATGAATATGTGATGATGGGTGTGGGTACCCTTGTTTGATGATTACTTCGATTTGGCTTCTGGACATGGGTACCTTTGTTTAAGGGTTTCTTTGATTTGGATCACTTATGAGATTTTTGATAACTTTGTTGGGTTTATGGGGCAGCGTATCTCCAATGTGTCTATAATTGTCCATTTGGCTTGTAAGCATGCTGCTTATAT